AAATATTTTAATTAAAAAATTTAATTTCTCTTAAATTTCTTGATGGAAACTAGAAAATGGAATAAACATCTTGTTTAAATTATTTTTTCGTTGGTGTTCTATCAAATAATAAGAAAGAAAATCTACTGCTGTCAAAATACGCTATATATATATATATATATATATATATATATATATATATATATATAAGTGCGTGTGTGCCGAAAAGTTCATAAAATATCCTAACATCCGTAGCTTACCCCGCCCCAAAAAGCTGCTCAATAAAAGGTATTGCATACTACATTTTGTAATACTTGTTTGTGACTGTGTATTTATTCGAGAGAAAGTGAGATGATGCTTGAGAGTTTATATATATATATATATATATATATATATATATATATATATTCTATAATTTCCCCACTTTGTGGTCTTGCATGCATATTTATTTATTCAGCATCATAAATAATATAAACACACACAAACACATATATATATATATATATATATATATATATATATATATATATATATACTGGATCATTAGTGAGATGTGCAGCAGTTTCATCGCGCACTGCTAATTCAGTTACTACCTGGTGACGCAGTAGTATGACCCTGCCAGATAACATATATATATATATATATATATATATATATATATATATATATATATATGTGTGTGTGTGTGTGTGTGTGTGTTTGTGCGCGCATATGTATATATATATATATATTGTGTAATAATAGTGTCTTAATAGTCCTTTAACCTGCATAGATACATGCGATATCTAAATTACTTTTCACTTTGAAAATGTACTCATATATTTCGACATATGTGTATACGTATCTAATAATGTAGAACAGAACATCTGTTTTCAGAGTGATCGTTGCTCTAATTGCTGATTAAAAAGAAAGATTCAACTGCGGGTAGATTGCATGCTTTTAAAACACAAGTGTCTTTGAATATTTCCCCAATCCATTCATTAATTTTTCTGGCTGTATCTATAGTTCGAGATAACACATAGCTTTGTACGTAGATTTGATTGGCTTCACCAACGAACACATTTGTGAAGTGTTTTCGCGCCTTTTCAGGTGGTTTGTAAAGCCTATGCAAGAGAGAAATGTCTTTTATATCGGCTGCAGGAGAAGGTCTGGCAGCCGGATAAAACTCAGACTGTGGAGAATTGTAGGATTTATCGATACAGTTTATAACATTCGCTGTTTCTTACTAATATGGATTCAAAGAGTGTGAAGTGGCAATATCTCTTGGTATGCAATTCTGTCTATCTGGAGAACTGGTAATTGTGATCATAGCTTCGCCTCAGACATCCACCATTGGTTGTGATACAAATTCACCAGAAAGCCAGATATCAAATTTCGGTTTTGCTTATTGCATGCGCCAAAACAAACAGGCAGGCGCGCTAACAAACACAAAACATACATATACACACGGATACATAGTTATGATATTGTATTTTGCTCTATAAGCTAATATCGTTAGACAGATTGACAACATCTCTCACTTTGTGTGTGCGTATATATATATATATATATATATATATATATATTAGTGCGTTAAACATAAGATTAAGACCAGACAAAATATTACCTACTATCGCAAAAGAAATAGTAGCTAAGAGAGTAAAAACATAGTAAAGTGGGCTCTGATTTAAAATCCAACAGACACCAACGGCACTAATATATATATATATATATATATATATATATATATATATATATATATATATATATATATATAGTAGCGGCCATAATATAAGGAACGGAAACAACAAAGACATAAATATGTGTATTACTTAAAAAGTAATGCATGATTAGCAATGAAATTTTTACCGAATAAAGATTAGGGTGTAAGGCATAAATATTATACAAAGTTACAAAAATTTACGTAATAGTTTTTTTGTTTTTTTTTTAAATAAAGATTAAATGGAACAAAGGCTACTGGACAAAAGTTAAGGAACGATCTTGTTAATACTTAAAACAAAATATGAACAAAATTTAATATTTGATAAAACATTCCCTTATTTTCAATGACTTCTCTGCATCGTCGACCACATGATCTAATTAATTTCTTGCAAAAATACATCCTAATCATTATTCGGTAAAAATTTCATTGCTAATCATGCATTACTTTTTAAGTAAAATACATATTTATGTCTTTGTTGTTTCCGTTCTTTATATTATGGCCGCTACTGTATATCTATCTATCTATCTATCTATCTATCTATCTCTCTCTATATATATATAAAGTTGGGTGGTTTTATTTTGAGTTAAGTAAATTTCCGTCTATAAAATACTGTAAATTTTTATTATTCAAACCATTTTTTGCATTAAAATCGAAATTAGCCAATCGAACTTTGTAACATTTCTAATGTATACTTATAGTCAAATGACAATATATCATCCAATACTCAGGTCATAATTTCCAACCGTCTTAAAAATGTTGATAATAACGTGTTTTGGAGTTTTCAAGTTTTATTCTGAAACAAACTAAATGTGACATGAGTTTAATGTCTTTGAACAATCTTTGACAATATGAGTAATTTACCAAACATTAAACGGCTTTATATAGATTTTTCTTTAAATATTCTTGCTTTTGATTCATACCACTTTAAAAACGCCTTGTGTCAAGATTTACAGTAATTCACTGCCTTTACATTGACACCATCATTAAATATAAAGGGACCGCTATTTTTTTATTGTTCACAGTAATAACCCTATTAATTATCCACCTTGTCTCTGCTCTGTTTTAAGTTGTTATGGTTGATTATTTACGTGATAGATCAAATCGTTTGCCAAACAAATTCGTACATCCAATGTAGCTCTACATTCACCATTCTAAGTTACTGCTTAGAAATCAGTCTACATTTTTCCTTTACAATTTGTGTTGTGTTTCTGTTACACAGTAACGTCACTTCATGTTTTATGGTTATGTATTTATTATGTTCTATAATAATATTTATATATAGGAAATTAAAAAATTAATATAAATAACTATACTATTATATACATTTATTTACAATATGATGAACAATTCTTGAGTTGTATACTAAAATCTCACGCTACCAAATACGTTATTGTAAATTTTTAAAATAAAACAAATATCAAAAAACGATTCTTCTCTTTTAACGGCAATCTCAATACTGTCGGTTATTTAATACAGAGAAGTTTTTTTAAATATATGGCTTACAAAAACTCCTTTGAATTGTTGGTTCCATCATTCTCCAGTTATGTCTTTATATTTCACATTGTATCTTTATAAATGAAATATATCTTGAAATGTTTACCGACATCGGTTGGTTAATGTCAATAATACGTATTGTGTAAATATTGATTTTCATAATTGTTGTAACCTAGGGAAGGTTACTGTACAGAATAATCACACGCAGGTCGGTAATGAACAATAATACTTAGGACAAGAACAACACATATAAGATTCGCCAGCAGCGCGTAAAAGAAGTACTCAACTGCTAGAAGTGAGTCAAGTGAATTCCATAATGAATCTCCAACTGCAGACCAACATACAGTATTTACTACTGTATTTATGTGAATGGGGACGTCGACATACCCATTATCGTCCGTAGGTATGCTTCAACAATAGTAAAATCTGACATAGCGTAATGTCCAATCGATAGGATCAATATTACCAATAAATTAAGTTTCTAGTGTGGTGAGGCTGTGGCTGTATACTTATCAAGGAAAATATAGGGTAAACACACACACACACACACACACACACAAAATAAAATAAAATAAACAACAAAACAAAATAAAACAGAATTAAGTGTATTGACAAGGAAGGAAAAATAGGCTGCGAATTTATTGATCCACCTTGGTATAAATTATAAATTATTTCCTTTTCATATTAACACGATTAGACGTATGGAGATGTGACAATATTACCAGTTATAAACATGGTGATAGTTTACTTTGTATTTTTAGAGGCTAAAAATCTATCAATTTTACTACCGGTTGCACGGATAAAAGCTGTTCGTCAATAGTAAGTTTGTCTTGTCGACCAGTTCACATGAAGTGCAACTTTGATCTTCTCTTTCTGTCCACTGACTGGGAGAAAGAAATCCGAGAGCCGAGTTCGAATTCCAGTCTGTTTCATTATATTGACTTACACATTCATACTTTTGGGAAAGGTAGGAATCCATCTCTTTCCCCTTGTCTATGGCTTAAATATTAGGACTTGTATATGGAAAAAGCTTTGTCATGCTCAAATTATTTTTAATACAATATTCTCTCGTACCCCCCCCAAAAAAAACGAAACAAAAACATTATTCTTACAATACCAAAATATGTTTCAGCTTTAAATAACCCACAAAGAGTTGACAAAGTGTCGAAAATCAATCACTCTGTCTACTACTGTGGTCTTGTTTCCTCTGATGTTAGTCTTTATAAACAATAATATGAATCGTCGGGTAACAGAAAGAACGTCATGCCGACCAGATTACAAGGGAAATTAATTATGTTCTCAATTTGGTATCTGTCATATAGGAATACATTATTTCTGCCGACATTTGGGTCTGAACACGGATCGACAGAGAGCAAGCACAGTCGACTTCATCTTGAAATAATTAGATCACGTGACGGGTAAAGAAAAAAAACATATACGGGAATTAGCTGCGTCTGGTCGAGTATTGTTCGAAAACGTTACTATTATTGTATCTGTGATTTATAAAGTCTCTCCTCCAAATGAGCGTTACAAAAGTATCACACTATTGATTGCGTGATTAGTTTTTTTTATGGTTTATCAAACTTTTGCAGTTTACTTAAAGCCAGAAAATATATTTAGGTCGTAATAATTTTTTTAGGTAATAATTTTTTAGTGATACAAATCTTCCTAATTAACCCATAGTTGGGAGAAAGAAGAGGTGGATTCATACCTTTCCCAAGTGCATTTGCGCGTAAGTGAATAGAAGTAAAGCAACTGGAATTGATCTTGACTCTCCGATTAACAATTCCGGGTCGTTATCCATTACAGCACTCGCACATCCACGCTTACAGCACCTGGTATTCCCAAGCGGTCACCCATCTACGTCCTGACTAGGCTCGACATTGCTTGACATCAGTGATCGTACGGGAACCGGTGTTTGAACGTGATAGGGCCTCAAGCCAGGTAACACATTAATATTGTCATGTCATGTGCCAGACCCAAGTTAAGTAAATAACTTTTTTTGTCGAATGTTGTCTTTCAGTAGAAGTGTATTTAACAATCGAATATGTTCAATTAACTTCCGATATCAATAAGTGAATAAATAATTTATTTTCAAATGATTAGCATAAAGTTCCAATATGAATTTAAAACTGAAAGGAAATCAAGAAAAACGACATTCTTTGGGACTGAGTCCAAACTGAGCTTAAATATCCGGTTGGTCAAGGGATGAAATGTCTAATCCTGTTACCGATTATTCTGCGTATGGACTGGCCGCATATTAAGTAGTGTAACTGCTATAAAATTAGATCAATTTTAAAAGTACATTTATCATCTTTTAAACAAAAGCGTCTGTAGTTCTACTAGTACCGACTCCAGTCAAAGATGATTACTGTGCTAAAAGCTTATTTTCTCTTCCTGCTACTACTTAGGTCGCTATAGGAGAATGGTTGGACGGAGATCAAACATGAACTCACCTCGTCACATCATTCTTGATAACATTTTGTTGGTGGGACATTTTCTAGAGATATCTGACAGCAGACGGTGGCGGACATAGGAAGAAGTAGATATACCTCGAAATGATATAATGATTAGCCAACTGGTGTGGCAGTTCATTTCATGGCCTGAAGATTGCGCTGAAGCATGATACATATTGTCACCGCTTGGTGTTGACATCAGTGTCCACATTATATATATATATGTATGTGTGTGTGTTTGTGTGTATATCTAAAGAATCAATGAATTTAGTTTTAATTCAACATTTTTTTTTTGCAAAGGGGCATGCAGTTTCAATCCTCGCCGGACAACACATTTTATTGGCTAAAATTTCTCGAATGCGCGGGCCGACAGATGTGATCCTTATTGTTTAATTAATAAATAAAATGAGACGTCTATTTCAAACACGAAGTATACGTTTACATATATAAGACAAAGTGAATATTTTTTATTGAGAACTTGTTTCGCCTTCCAGATCAAAAAGGAAGACAAATTTATGTTTTTATATATTAAAACAATCGATGTCTGTCTTCCAGTCGAAATGAAAGAATAAAAATACCTTTTTTTTTGTTTTGTTTTTTTAATTTATTTAAGTTACCAATCTATGCTGGATTTGGAACTCGGCGAAACGCCTGGTCAGTAAAAAAACCCCACTCTGTCTCATTTCTTCACTTGTGTTCGTATTTTATGCCCTATTAAAACACGCACACACACAAACACGCATATATATATGTATATATATATATATATATATATATATATAAAGAATTGATGCTTTAATTTCTTAATCAGATTTTATTACTTAAGCGTTATTTTTAGTGGATATTCGTTTTTGCGTAGAGACTTCGTTTATTTATTAAAAAGTAAATTTATTTATTTTCGTTTACCAGCCTGAATATTCGAGAAAACTTGCTAGAGAAAAGTATGCGCTCTCCGGAAAAGACGAAAATAAATAAATATATTATTTAATAAATAAACAGAGCGTCTACTCAAATACGAGTATCCACTAAAAATAACGTCTAAATAATAATCAATATATATATATATATATATATATATACATACATACAAGTGGATGGAAAAATACAACGAACGCCGATTATAATATTTACATAAAAACGTAATAGATATGGGGATGCTCAGCTTGAAATTTTAATTTTGAACTTAGAATGCGTTACTTTAAGGCGCTTCTACCATCTTGTCATTTGATTGCCCACTATATGCATGTATAAGTAACGAGATTTATGAGTCGTGAGTTTTATCTCCTGCCAAAAGCATCTTTCTTTTCTCATTGGTGGTTTGTCCTATTCTTGTAAAATATACGATATCGACGTGTAAACACGGTTGTACGTAGACCTTTCTGGCCCACATACGGCGGTATTCACTGAAATATATATATAAACTTCCTAATATGCAAGTGCATCTTAATGTTGGCCCGCACGCACACGAACACACACACACACATACCATCTTAAGCACTTGTAGCATTCCCGCCACAAAGTAACCTCTACGCTCACATCATTTCCAACTCCCTCCCGTAACCTCATAATCAAACATGTCTTCTTTCTCATCTTCGTTTCTTTCCTTCCTCTATTTTTCACTCTTCTTTCTACTTTGGCGACTGCAGTAGTGAATAGTGTCACTGCTGCTTCGCGCGCATCACAATTAAAGGGACCGCATGCAGGCTAATATGCCAGCCTGCTAACGAAACTAGTTTTAAACACACGCATCGTCACACGAACGATCACACGCATTACTTTTCATTCGTTCTCACGTCTGTTCTCTTGCGATATGTGAGACTACACACACACATATATATAATATCGTAATTCCTTTAGGCTTGCAATCTAGTCATGCAATCAAATACTACAGTAGTAAATTTCTTTTTCATTTAGGTGCCCTGCAATTTCGGCCTTGTATCATACTTAGCTAAACTTTATAAATACTTCAAACTGCTTGGTGGTGCAATTGTTAGCTAACTTCTCCACAATTCTTGCTATGATGAGTTCGATTCTCACCGGGCATTTACATTTTGAGCTTTATCTCAAGCGAAGCTGGAATTGTTTTATTGTTATTTTTTACGCTAATTTTCACCCAATACAAGGCCTGAGAGACACTCAGATTAGGGCGCTACTTTTTAAATTGTTATCATAAATAAGATGTATGATATGAATGAAAGAGAAGATGGTAGGATGATTATGAGGAAACGGTGAATAGATAATGATTGACCCTTGACCTGAATTGGTTTTAATGTTGTGAGAAGCATCCATTAAATACATAGTCTCGACCATTCATACTGGAGTAACATCGATCCTAACTTCGTATGGCACACTTTTAAAAATCACCTCACAACTTAGCAAGTTAATCAGACAGTCCATTTAGTAAGTTCCATTTTAATTGGGTACCCCAGTTTTGTGTACTTTCGCATTAAGAAAGGATGGTAAGTGTCCTAACATAAAAAGAAATTGGCTGAAAAAGAGTGAGAAGTGTGTATATATATATATATATATATATATATATATATATATAGGCAGCAATCCTTCCTTTAAAAACATCCCTACCACACACTAAGACATACACAGAACGCACACACTCAATTAAGCTGAAAAGTCGAATCATCCTTGATAATGACTAAAGGTATAGCCGAAAGCGCTCGGAAATATAAAACATTTGGAGAGTTCTTACACACCCTTTGTCCAGAAAAGAAAGCTCTTGTTCGAACACAAGAAAAATTAAATAAAAAGCTTAACCGCAGTACCTTGTCTGTCGTTTTTAATGAAAATGCATATATATATATATATATATATATATATATATATATATATATATATATATATATATATATATATATAAGGTATGTTATATTTATTTATGGAGGCACGGTGGAGTAATTTATTGCGGATTGGATGAAGGAAATAAATAGCTGAGTTCGAATTCCAGTCGAGTTCGTTACATGCTAATACCTTGGGAAATCTATGAATCCATCTCTTCTCACCCTAAGCTTGAGCGAACTCTAAATTCAGACAAGGTTGAGCTCTGTCACACTGTGTTTCCCAAGACAGCCCACTTATAATGCGGCTGCATTACATGTGGTACCCCTACGACTCTAACGAGTTCCGGAACTCGTGATGATCGTGATATTTATGGGTTAAAGTGCTCAATATTAGGGTCTGAACATATGTAAATATAATGCGTGTGACATAATATGTGTATGTATGTGAAGCATACTCGTGTGGATTGCTTTGTCGCTAAGTTCGTTTCATTGTCATCTTCCGCAGTTTTAGAACCGAGTTAAGAGTTAAGAATCCAGTTTCGCTAAGAGAAAGAAGGCTTCGGCAAGCTGGTCACTCCCGGAGAAGTAAGTCAGAACTTGTGACACCCTCCTATGGAACCTATTGCGTGGTAAAACATCTGTTGGAAGATCACATCTTACCTACATTGACCAACTTGTAAATGGCTGTGGATGCCACGTGGAGGACTTGTCGACAGCGATGTCTGACAGAGATGGTTGGAGGGAACGAGTTTAGGAGAATCCAAGAAGAATACTCGACCTGATTATGATGATGATAAAAATCCACTCTCCGAAGGTTGATTTTCAGGTCATTGCAGATCAACGGTATGTTGCAAGAAATCGGTATTCAAACCCAGGTAATAAAACATTATTTTAAATACTAATTTTCGTGGAAGATAAACTCTCCCTTTATATAACATGTCTCTTTCCTATCAGTTGTGTAGTTCTTGGTTAACCTTAATTCAAGAGACATCAATATCAGAAAGTTTCGTACTATTACGATGGCCTTGCAAGCCGTTGACATTCTTTTAGTTCTATATAAATACAGACTTGGGTCTAAATTATCTTAACCCAATAAATATCCGTCTACATGTCCGAGATAAGGTATTGTAATTATTTACACTATTTACATTGTTCGGACTGTTGTCTTAATCTTCGTTGCCATATTTACGACGTTTTGGTCGTTGTATTGTATATGATGAATATGGCAACGGAGATGAGGACAACAGTCCGTACAATGTAAATATTGTAAATAATCCAATAAATGTGTATTGAACTGTTAAGACATGATCAATATATATATATATATATATATATATATATATATATATCTCTTTTTTATGGTGGGTGTATTGATACTTATATGGGACATGGTCGTCTCTGTCTACTGTTTTCTCTCTCACCATTTTAATTCCATCTTAAAAATGTTTAAAATGTTAATATCTTCATCCTCAGCTATTATAAAATTTTGCAACCGGACGAATTATTTGAAACTTAATAATTATTTAAAAATTGAAAATATATTCACCTGACCTATAGTTACAAACCATTCTACAAATGACCTTATTTCACGATACATATATTTAAATTAGAAACGTAAGATTCATAAAAATGCCAGGAGGAAGCTAATAAAAAACTTTTTTCTATTGATTGTTTTTGATTGATTTGTCT